GGTGGGTACACAGGCTTGTGTGTTATGCCCATGGCCCGGGCAGGGCCATTTCCACGAGAGAGAGCTAGGAGTAGGCCTTGTGTCTTCCTGCTAGGCCGCTGTGTGAGTGAGAGCGAGGCAAGGGCAGGCAGGCTGCCGTGCCCACCGAGAGGCCTGGCTACAGAGGGCAACACTTGAGTGGCGCGAAATATGAACTAAGCTGGCAGACAGCATGGGCTGTCTGTGCAGACAGTACAGGCTGTCTACAGGAGGAGTATGGAAGAAGTGAATGTTTTCAGATATTTGGGAGTTGACGTGTCAGCAGATGGATTTATGAAGGATGAGGTTAATCATAGAATTGAAGGAAAAAAGGCAAGTGGTGCATTGAGGTATATGTGGAGACAAAAAACGTTATCTATGGAGGCAAAGATGGGAATGTATGAAAATATAGTAGTACCAACATTCTTATATGGGTTTGAAGCTTGGGTTGTAAATGTTGCAGCGAGGAGGCGGATGGAGGCAGTAGAGATGTGCTAAGGGCAATGTGTGGTGTAAATATTATGCAGAAAATCTGGAGTGTGGAAATTAGGAGAAGATGTGGAGTTAATAAAAGTATTAGTGAGAGGGCTGAAGAGGTGGTTTGGTCATTTAGAGAGAATGGATCACAGTAGAATGACATGGAGAGCGTATAAATCTGTAGGGGAAGGAAGGTGGGGTAAGGGTCGTCCTCGAAAAGGTTGAAGGGAGGGGGTAAAGGAGGTTTCGTGGGAGAGGGGCTTGGACTTCCAGCAAGCGTGTGTGAGCATGTTAGATAGGAGTGAATGGAGACGAACGGTATTTGGGACCTGACGAGCTGTTGGAGTGTGAGCAGGGTAATATTTAGTGAAGGGATTCAGGGAAACCGGTTATTTTTATATAGCCGGACTTGAGTTCTAGAAATGGGAAGTACAATGCCTGCACTTTAAAGGAGGGGTTTGGGATACTGGTTTGGAGGGATATGTTGTGTATCTTTATACGTATATGCTTCTAAACTGTTGTATTCTGATCACCTCTGCAAAAACATTGATTATATGTGAGTGAGGTGAAAGTGTTGAATGATGAAAGTATTTTCTTTTTGGGGATTTTCTTTCTTTTTGGGTTACCCTGCCTCAGTGTGAGACGGCTGACTTGTTAAAATAAAAAAAAAAAAAAGGTAAGCCCATGTGAGTCATTTAGCACTATACAGCAAGAGAGGGTGATCAATGAGAGAGTTGGTGTTGAGAGATTATAACAGATGTTGTAACAAATTGGTACCAGTTAAGAAATACAATTTACATTAAAGATAAGAGTGTTGGCAAGGAGGGAAGACAGGAAGCACATCAGGGTGAACAGGAAAGGAAAATACTGAAAAATTTCACGTTCCTTATCGACAGCCACATATGTTAATGTATCTAGGTGTGAATTATGTTTTATTTTATTTATAAATTACAGTATTAAGAAGTTTTCATGTCAACTCATTCTATCCCTTTTGCAGATGGAATAAGAGTCACAAATCAATGACTGTTACTCAAAACAGCACCCAAACAGACTTGTAAGTCTTTACATACAATACTCATTATTAAAATATGCTGGCCTCACTATCAAACCATATCCACACACTAGGTCATCCCTTGCACTTTAGGACATCCTTCAACATTCTAGAAAGTGACTAACATACAATCTTCAGGGTTTTGTGGAATAAATTTCTCCATGACTCATGGATGGCGACTACCAGCCACAGGAGTCAGCTGATATCCTTCCCCTAGTAGATCTCTCTTTAACACACCACACTGCATGAAAGATCTAAGCACATTATCACAGACCAATTTAAGGAACATTATTACAATTAATATTAGTAGGGATATTTTTCTAGGCTTCCCTGGATGTGCTTTTGGTGTGGGCATGTCACTAACACTGTCCTCAAGGAAACGACACAGCCAGGTCCTCATCAAACGCTCAAACACACATTAATGGCTTCAATTATTTCCCTCATTTAGTGGCCAACTTTATGTAATCCAATGATCTGTGCAATTGTCTCTTGTGTTAATGACTTATTCCTGCCTATATTAATTCATTGATAGCCAAAACTGTCTGGCAAACTTGGCTCTCAAGACATGGTGCAGAGAGTCCACAGTCACAAACCCATCCCCCAACAAGCCTAGATAGCACTTTGAATGCAGCTTGGAGAATCCTAAAACATTCCACTATGAGTTGCGGGGCCAAGCCAGCATAACTTTTTATTGTCTCAATGAAACACCTAACAAGGCAGATACCTGTATGTCAGGTACCTTTACTCAGTTCCATCTGTGGTTCAGTCCCAGGCATGGGTGGAAACATTGAGTATGTTTCCTTACATCTGCTGTCCCTGTTCACATAGCTTCAATTATTTCCCTCATTTAGTGGCCAACTTTATGTAATCCAATGATCTGTGCAATTGTCTCTTGTGTTAATGACTTATTCCTGCCTATATTAATTCATTGATAGCCAAAACTGTCTGGCAAACTTGGCTCTCAAGACATGGTGCAGAGAGTCCACAGTCACAAACCCATCCCCCAACAAGCCTAGATAGCACTTTGAATGCAGCTTGGAGAATCCTAAAACATTCCACTATGAGTTGCGGGGCCAAGCCAGCATAACTTTTTATTGTCTCAATGAAACACCTAACAAGGCAGATACCTGTATGTCAGGTACCTTTACTCAGTTCCATCTGTGGTTCAGTCCCAGGCATGGGTGGAAACATTGAGTATGTTTCCTTACATCTGCTGTCCCTGTTCACATAGCAGTAAGTAGGTACCTAGGTGTTAGTTAACTGGTGTGGGTCGTATCCTGGGGGACAAGATTAACCCCTTAACTGTCCAAATGTAGATCTACATTCTCTCGCCCAGCGCTCCGAATATTTTGAAAAAAAAAAAATCTTTTTTTTTAATAAAGAGTACATTTTTTACATAAAGTAATGTAAAAAAAAATTTCAAGTCAGTACTTACAGAGATATAAAGCCACAAAGTTGGTGCTTGTTGCTCACCTGACAGCAACATGAAGTGCTGCCGCTTGCAGAAGTGTTGCTGATATATCTTTTTTCCTCTTTTTTTCATGTATTTTTTTTTTTTCAACAAGTCGGCCGTCTCCCACCGAGGCAGGGTGACCCAAAAAAGAAAGAAAATCCCCAAAAAGAAAATACTTTCATCATCATTCAACACTTTCACCACACTCACACATTATCACTGTTTTTGTAGAGGTGCTCAGAATACAACAGTTTAGAAGCATATATGTATAAAGATACACAACATATCCCTCCAAACTGCCAATATCCCAAACCCCTCCTTTAAAGTGCAGGCATTGTACTTCCCATTTCCAGGACTCAAGTCCGACTATATGAAAATAACTGGTTTCCCTGAATCCCTTCACTAAATATTACCCTGCTCACACTCCAACAGATCGTCAGGTCCCAAGTATCATTCGTCTTCATTCACTCCTATCTAACACGCTCATGTAATATTTATGTTCTGATAATTACAATTTGTTCTGACACTAATATTAGGTACTGAAATAGTACTCAAATAGTCACAAACACAGTGACAGGTAGACATTTTTTACTTAACTTAGTCACATACTATTGTCTAGAAATATGTACATAGTATTTACAGGTCCCAGCAATGTTTTGGGCACTCGGGAGTTAGACGAGTGTCATTCCACTGCTGACAATGCAGCAGTGGAGTGACATTTGATGATCGTGCACTGCCTTGGCTTTATTTGTTTTCACTGTTACACATAAACATGTCTGTATGTCTATCTGTCTGTTTGTCTCTCTTTCTGTCTCAGAGAGCAACTCAAGAACCAACAGGTATTACACGTGATGCAGAGTCGTCACGTCTGATTTCTGAGCAAATGAAAATGCATATTATTTGCCAGTCATGCTTATTATGCCTTAGATCTACAAGCACAGTATAGCACTTTTTCTGAGATTTTTTTTTTGTTATCCTAGGTAATTTACACTATGAATAATAACTGCATGTATGTGTGTACCTTTGGGGCTAGTAACCCCTTCTCCTGTACAAATTACTAAATTTAAAAAGAAACACTTTCGTTTTTCTTTTTGGGCCACCCTGCTTTGGTGGGATACGGACAGTTTGTTGAAAAAAAAAATGTGTACCTTTGAGACAGGGACAGACAAAGACAGGGATAGACAGAGAAAGAGACAGCCAAAGTCAATCAGCCAGCCAGCCAGCCTACCAAACACATATTACATGTGTTCCTGAACTGTTTCTCTTTACTTAGGGCATAGGTTATAGGACATTTTGGCAGGATGACTCTACCAGTGGTATCAAAAATGACAGGATGTTGCACAAATGTTGTTTATGGGTTATTATCTAGGTTTTAGATATTTCCTCGACCACTTGTGGTCACAGCCATCTCAAAGCCACTAAACTCAGGGTCAGCATCACTTTCTTCTTAAAAGGAAAATGTTAATACAACATGGCATCAGTGAATCCCTAGTGTCTGTCATGCTGTTTGCTCTAGCTGGTGCTGAATTGAACTGGTGCTCCCACAAGGTACTAAGTGGTCCCAGACTTTTTTAATACTGCGTACGCCAGTTGTTAACACCCATTCTATACTGACCAGGCATCTCAGGCCAATCGTGCAAAATTTTAAGGCAGGAAAAATAAAACGTAGATCTATGTTTGGAGCACTAGCGGCAAGAACATAGATCTACATTTGGACAGTTGAGAGGTTAAAGGAACCCAATGGAAATAAGGCAGACAGTCCTTGACGACACACTGACTTTCTTGAGTTATCCTAAGTGGCTAACCCTCCAGATTAAAAATCTGGATAAATCTTATACTTTAATGATAAGCATTGTATGTCTAGTTCAAACATCACTACTATATTCTTTTACAATTTTATAAGCAATCTTTATCACAGGAGAAATGAGCTTAAGCAGTTGGCTGATTTTCAGAAAAATAAAGCAATTACAGAATAACATATTAGACTAACATATATATTACCTGTAATGGAAACCAATATCATGGTTCCCAACAGCTATTAGAACATGGGAGTCCACTGGTATGTAGAACAAATCATGAAATCTTTCCACGTATTCGTCAAATTCCTCTGGCTTGCACCACTTCCCTTCATCAAAGAGATCACCTGTATAAGAAAAAACTCTGAAGACAACTGATCGAAAAATTTACAATAATTGTTTGTTTATTTACTTATTCAGTGACAGTAGTTATTTATTTACTAATTTATTTATCATATCATATTCATATTCAATAGGTAGTAAGTTGGAAGACAGCAACCACCCAGAGAGGTACTACTATCCTGCCAAGTGAGTGTAAAATGAAAGCCTGTAATTGTTTTACATGATGGTAGGATTGCTGGGTCCTTTTTTCTGTCTCATAAACACGCAAGATTTCAGGTACGTCTTGCCACTTCTACTTACACATAGGTCACACTACACATACATGTACAAGCATATATATACACACACCCCTCTGGGTTTTCTGCTATTTTCTTTCTAATTCTTGCTCTTGTTTATTTCCTCTTATCTCCATGGGGAAGTGGAACAGAATTCTTCCTCCATAAGCTTTGCGTGTCGTAAGAGGCGACTAAAATGCCGGGAGCAAGGGGCTAGTAACCCCTTCTCCTGTATATACATGTATTACTAAATTTAAAAGGAGAAACTTTTGTTTTTCCTTTTGGGCCACCCCCACCTCAGTGGGATACAGCTGGTGTGTTGAAAGAAGAAAGAAAGATTCATATTCAATAGGTAGTAAGTTGGAAGACAGCACCCACCCAGAAAGGTACTACTGTCCTGCCAAATGAGTGTAAAATGAAAGCCTGTAATTGTTTTACATGATGGTAGGATTGCTGGTGTCTTTTTTCTTTCTCATAAACATGCAAGATATCAGAAACGTCTTGCTACTTCTACTTACATTTAGATCACACTACACATGCTTGTACAAGCATATATATTCTTCTATTTTTCTTACTAGTTGCTGTTCTTGTTTATTTCCTCTTATCTCTGTGGGGAAGTGGAACAGAATTCTTCCTCCGTAAGCCATGCGTGTTATAAGAGTCGACTAAAATGCCAGGAGCAAGGGGCTAGTAACCCCTTTTCCTGTATATATTACTAAATGTAAAAGGAGATACTTTCATTTTTCCTTTTGGGCCACCCCGCCTCGGTGGGATATCCTAAGTCACAGTCAACTTATCAAATCAAATCAAAGTTTATTTTCTATAAGGATTACAATGCAGGGTTTACAGATTTTGGTTATTGTGTGGTTTACATGTAATAAAATACTAATTACAGAGGGGGCCACTAGAACACCTAGCATGGCTAGGCATTTCGGGCAAACAGAGATTAATTCTTAACCCTAAATTATTACAAATTGTGGAGTAAGTTGACTAAATACTAAGTGACTAAATACTGGTTTGTGAGTTTAGCAATGTGAATGCTTTTGTTTTGGCACAATACATAGTTTCTATATTGGAGTATCACAGGCAAACTTATGACTAGTTAGGAATCATTATTTTAAGATTAAGATATGTATTTCTGTGCTTATAGTCAAATGGGTGAGTGAATGAGTGTAAGTGTGAACCACCAGGTGGTTTACATGTAGTTAGTTGACGGGGTGTATCAGGGAGATAAGATGTTTTCTGTTTCTAACTGTGATGAATGTGTTTGCAGTTCTAGAGTTTTTCAGGTAGGGTGTTCCAGATTTTAGGGCTTTGACATACATTGAAATTTTGTAAAGGTTTAGTCGGACACGGGGAAAGTCGTAGAGATGTTTGTGTCTGGTGTTATGCCTGTGGGTCCTGTCACAACTATCAAGAAAGCATTTGAGGTCAAGGTTAATATTGGAATTTAAGATCCTCTATATGTAGATTGCACAGTAGTAAGTGTGGATGTTTAGATCTATGAAGAGTGGGAGGTGTGTTGCCAGGGATGGGATTTAGTGATTATTCTTACTGCGGCTTTTTGTTGAGTTATTTTTGGCTTTAGGTGTGTTGCTGCAGTTGATCCCCAAGCACAAATAGCATAGGTGAGGTATGGATAAATGATTGAATGGTATAGTGTGAGAAGGGCATTTTGCAGCACATAGTATCATATCTTGGAGAGGATCCCAACTGTTTTGGATACTTTTTTTGTTATGTGTTGGATATGGGTGTTGAAATTCAGGTTGTTGTCGAGGTATAGGCCAAGGAATTTGCCCTCATTATGTCTGGCAATTAGAGTGTTGTCAATCTTAATGTTAATTTGTGCATCTCCTGCTCTGCTGCCAAACATAATATAGTAGGTTTTGTCAGTGTTAAGTGTAAGTTCATTGACTGTCATCCAAGTTGATATTTTGAGCAGCTCCTCGTTAACAATGGTGTTGAGGGTGGCAAGATTAAGGTGAGAGATGACATAAGTCGTGTCATCAGCAAAGAGAATGGGTTTCAGGTGTTGGGATATGTTTGGAAGATCACTGATGTAAATGAGGAAGAGCAGGGGTACAAGGACACTTCCCTGCAGAACTCCAGTATCAAGTGGCCGTGTTGATGATGCTGTGTCTTTAATGGTGACATATTGATACCTATTAGTAAGGTAGGATTTGAAATATGCAAGCACATGGCCTCTTATACCATAATGGTCAAGTTTGTGGAGTAGGATGCCGTGGTCTACTGTGTCAAAAGCTTTTCTTAGGTCAATAAAAATTCCTAGCGGATATTCCTTATTTTCTAATGCTGTGTAAAGCAGATCTAGCATTTTTACAATTGCATCATTAGTGCTTTTATTTTTCCTGAATCCAAATTGGCAGGGGTTGAGTATGTTTTGTGCCGTTATAAATGAATACACAGCCCTTGTGGCTTAGCGCTTCTTTTTGATTATAATAATAATAATATAAATGAATACAGTCTCCTGTGCACGAGTTTCTCGAAGATTTTGGATAGCAATGGTAAGTTTGATATTGGCCTAGAGTTGCTTACATCTGTAGAGTCACCACCTTTATGTATTGGTGTAACCCTTGCAGTCTTGAGTAGTTTCGGGAAGGTGCTAGTTTCTAGTGACTTGTTAAAAAGTAATGAGATAGCATACGAAAGGATATGGGCCGCTTGCTTGTGCAATGATGGTGGGACATGAGACAGATTCCCTGAGTTATTTTTAAGTGACTTTATAATCTCGGTGACTTCGGTGGGCTCAGTTGGTACAAGATAGAAGGAATTTGGGAAATTCACATCTAGATAGTCCCCGGCATGGGCGTTGGTACATGGGATTTTACTGGCAAGATTAGATCCTATGGTTGAGAAAAAGTCATTTATCTTGTTAGCTGTTTCAGTGGGATACAGTGGTGTTTCATTAAGTTTAGTTAGGACAATATTCTTGGTTTTTTCAGTTTGTGGGTGCCCAGAATCTGAGAGAGTGTTTTCCAGGTCTTTTTTATATCTCCTCTTGTGTCAGTGAATCTGCTGGAGTAGTATAGTTGTTTGGTTTTCTTTATTACTTTGGTGAGAACTGATGAATAGTGTTTAAGAATATCTTTGTGTATTAAGCCCTGTCTATATTGCTTTTCATATTGGTGTTTCTTATCAATGGATTTCAGAATGCTGCTGGTTAGCCATGGGTAACCGAGCCATTTATTCGTGATCTGTTTCGTTTATATAGCCTGTTTTGTTACTATTGTCTTTTAAATATCTGTGTGACCCTACGTTTTAACCGATTACATCTCTAGTAATGTGACCATATGCTAGTGTATTATAAGTGCTTTGTACGATGTATTTTTGGGGCTCTGTATGGGACAATTTATTACAATAATATATATGATAAAATAAATAGTCTAAATACTGGCCCTGAACATACCTCCGGAGTGAAATATAAGATTATCGTAACGGGTTCACTTGTAATTTGTCTAAGGATAATCTACTTCACATATTTCAAAACCCAATTCGGCTTGGATGAATACTTAGGAGTGAAAAACTAGTCCATTGTATGTTGAAATGTTGTCTTGTCAAACCATTCCTTATTGAGGCCATCTCATATTCATTGGAGCCTCTACTAAATGAAACTTTGTTGTATTCCAGTGGTGGTTTACTAATGTTTGCTAAGAGGAAGGTAGGGTAGTGGTCTGTAGTGCTGTCTGTGATTATCCCTGATTTAAGGGGGGCTAGTATATTGGTCCATATGTGGTCTATTATGGTTGCACTTGTCTCAGTGAGCCTGGTTGGTTTAGTTATTGTTGGTATGAGAAGTGTGTTGTTCATATTGTTGATGAAATCAGTTACAGGCTGATCATCTAGTAGGTCAAGGTTTATAGTGAAGTCTCCAGCTAAGAGAAGGTGGGCTTGTTCATTTGTCTGTTTGTTACTAGTGCCTTTAATTTCTCACTGAAATTTGGGATGTTTGTGTGGGGTATCCGGTAAATGGCACCGATTGTTATAGGCGTCTTAAGGTTTTTTACAGTAAAATTAGCAAAAATGTATTCCCCATATAACTAAAGCAAGTGGTGCTAATACAAGATAGTTGGTTAGAGTAATAGATTGCAATACCACCCCCAACTTGGTATGGTCTGCAGTTGTGGATTGCTGTGTATCCTGGTAGAGGGTAGATATCTATTCTGTCCTGCTTAAGCCAGGTCTCAGTAAGAATTAGGATATTTTCAACTTATGTTGGATTCATCAGAATGTAACCCCATCATAAGTCTAGGAGCACCTGTCCATCTGAAGTCATCTTAAACCCTGACACCTCAAGGGTGATGCTTGAATGACTGGACTCTTGATGCAAGGAACTGTATTTATCCTCCCATTTCAGGACTGAACCTGAATGCCTCCCCAGTGGAGTAGCTAGAGGAAGAGAAAGGAGAGTGACTGCTCCCCTTCAGCACGTTTTTCAAATATGGCACTTTTTCAACAATTGTTTGAAATCCTTAGTTCACCTGTGCAATTAAAGTTGAATCTCATTTTTTATTGTTTATTTTTTTAATCTTCCTTGTGTTTTGCTTTTAAAAACAACAAAAATGTATAATGACTTTAAAATTATTCGGTATGTGTCATGGTGCCTCTTATGTGGTCGCTCCCCCTAACTTTAGAACCTGGCTATGCCACTGTGCCTCCCATATCTAGGTGTTATTTGACCCTTATGGGTTTAGCCCTTCCAATGTTAAAAT